AAATAAAATAAAATAAAATAAAATAAAATAAAATAAAATAAAATAAAGATGGGCTGGAGAGATGGTTCAGCAGTTATGAGCACTGACTGTTCTTCCAGAGGACCCAGGTTCAATTCTCAGAACCCATATGGCAGTTCACAAGTATCTGTAACTCCAGTTCTAGGGGACTCTACACCTTTTCTAGCTTCTGTGGACACTGCACACATGTGGTGCACAGACATACATGCATTTAAAACATCCATGTGTATAAAATAGAAATAAGTGAAAAACATAAAAGGCAAGTGAAAGATGAAACTATAGATGTCAATGGGGCCATGTGGCACATTGTGCTCTGGAATAGAAGTAGATAAGGATGTCGCCCTAATAGTGATTTCAAACAGGTGAGCACCCCACATCTGATTTATGTTTTAAAAGTTCACTGTATGGAGAAGCAGAAGCACGGTTCTTAGAAGAGGAGGTCAAAAGGCTAGAGACAGGAGAAGAAGCAGGAGGTGCTGCTGACTTGGTGCCAGCACAATTCATAATACATGGGTGTAGGTTAAGTTAGAGCAGAGATGGCGTGATTAGTTAGTTGGCTTGGGGACCAGGTGATCCTAAGGTTGGATGATGATACCTAGGTTTTAGTTTAAACTTGTTGGTAGATAGTATGCAATGCCATCCAGACATGGAGTACCACAGAGAGAAGTTTGCAAACATAATGTGTAGTTCAGACTGCCTTTAGGTTTGAGATTCCTGATATGGGTTGAGAGAAGAAAAAACATTAGAGCTTAGAGGATAGTGTACTTAAGCCCCAAGTGTGGCATGGAGTAATAGTAAGGGTGCCTTTGGGACCTGAGACCTGGGACCTAAAAGGAAGGTCAGCTGATAGTGACTCTAACCTTAGTTGGAGCTCCAGTCACCCCATAAAGAATACCAGGAACCAAGAAAGGAAATTTCTTGGGTTCCCCATTGATGAAAGTTAAAATAAAGATAGAGTATTGAGGAGTTCCTTGGCAGAGATCAGAGCATCTAGTCTTAGGGGCAGAAGGAGATGTTAATGGGTTGAAAATGGAAGGGGAAAGCAATAGAAGACGGATATCCAGCCCCAAACCAAAACCATGCAGCCAGGAAGACAGAAGACAACACTGAGCTCAGGAGGAAGATGAGGCTGAATCTGTAACTCAGAGCTAGCAACCATTCTAATCGGATGGGGGTGGACTGAGAGATGTTTTGTCAAACTCTCTTCAGTTTTTACTAGCTCCTGTGGGTAGACTGAAGAAAACATTGAGGAAGTTGTTAAACACAATAGTTTAATTGGGGACATATGAGAAAGCTGCTTAGATTCTGGATTATAAAAGAAGCCTGTTAAATAGAAGCAGTATCTTCTCTGGTCCTTCTGTCACCTAAAAAATGAGGCAACATTGTATTTCCTTTGCCTTCCTTTGAGAACTAAGATAAAAGGTATAATGGCACCTGCTAATGCCATGAAATATAAAGCAGAATGCCTTGGACTTCTCCTGTGGAGAATTATTCAAAATTTTAATAAAGCACTTGTGTATGATTTGGCATAAGTATGAGTCATTAATGATGTTTACAGAAAAATACTGGAGCTTAAGTTTAAGTCTGTGTAGTAGGATGTAAAATCCAAGCTTTTTGCCAAAGTTTATTTCAGCCACATTGACAGATGGATCTATAGTTAAGGCTTAGTTAAGTGTGTGTGTGTGTGTGTGTGTGTGTGTGTGTGTGTGTGTGTGTGTG